GTAGAAGAAGATTTAATTTACTATGTTAAGTGTGCTTAACTAATTACAAAGGATCACCTTAAACGCTCTGGTCTTATTTTTAGTTACCTTGTATTTTTAATTAGAATTTATTATTAAATGAGAGTTCTTGGAACTTATCTAGTGATATTGAATTTGGATTTAAAATATGTAATTTCATTATATAATTAGAAGGAGAATCTTAATCAAAGATTAAGAAAATCCACAGTCTTCCGAAAAAAAAAAAAATAGATGACTCAATCATTTTATAGAACTTAAACCAAAGTTCTATCCAAACACAGGTATGTTTAAAGAATGCATTGATAAAAACTTATGGATACCATTTAATTTCGTTGACAATTATTGAGGTCATTAATTAGATAGGGTAGTTAAGTACATTTGATATGATCACTACGTAGTTTAATTGGATGAATATGTAGTAAGTTGCATGAAGAGTGTATAATATAATCAATTAGAACTTTTGTTTTGTTTGGAAAAGATAGCATGCAAAGCACATGTATTTTAAGTAACCCTGTTAAAGCAAATAAAACAGAAAGGTGTTTGAAATGCTGTGGTTAAAAACAGATATTTGTAAATTGTAAAAAGGTCGTGCTATGATTTACTCCAATAATGGTGGTCTAGGGATGTGAAGGCGTGCAACAACTTTCCTTATCATTGAGAAGTGGAAGATGTCTAATAAAAGCAAAACAAAGTAACCCAACTTTTCACAAAATACAAAGTGAAAACGAATGGTTTGAGTTGTCTAAATCTTTGTCTTTTCAGATTACTTTATTTTTTCAACTCTTAAAAATTTTGGGGGTTTGGAACTAGACTTGTAATCAACTTACAACTCATTTGCCGTAAATTTTACAACAGAATTTTGTTTAGTTTGACTTTAGATTCTTTAAAACACAGTAAAATAACAGTTAATGTGATTCAAGTAAAATTTCATATATTTAATTCTACTTAAAAGAGTTAATTTTAAGTTGAAACATTTTTATGTAATATTTGCATTAGATTAATTATACTGAATTATATTATTAACTTGTTATTCATAATCAAAACATTTAAACATAAACATATCACTTCAAACACAAATTTTAGCAGAATCAATTTTGCAACCTTCATCAAAACACACTCAAATTCAGAAAAGTTGATCCGATCATGCATGTGAAAAGAAAACCGCTACCAGCCTAAGAGTATACGGATGTCTAAAAGGATCCAAAGAGAAACCAATAACACGGTTTTATTGGAAAAAAAAAATGGTTTCAGACCCTACTGTGTAACATTAATTAATTCATATAGAATATCCCAAATGATGGAATATGATTAGTTGTTATTGATGACTTCTTGTTGAATTAACAGTGATAGCTGAATGCTGCTTCATAGTTTAGTTTCTACCATTTATATGATTCTCAACAGTATGAAGCAACTCGATTAGAACATGTTACTCTATTATAAAAAGTAATAAAGCACTCAGATTTATGTAAGATTAGTAGAATGGAAATGGAGGTGGCTGATTGTGGTGGGGTTTAATATAGAGCATGTTTAGGGGCATGTGTGCCCTCTATTCTTAGTCAATGGTATGATTTGTAACAGAAAATGTTTGACAGTAAAAGAAAAAATGGATAAAAACAAAGAAGTGGGATAAAAGGGAATGTTGAAGCCTTCCCTACCATTGTGGTCATGTTGAATAATCACTTCCCAACACCTTATTATCACCAACTCACGCTAGAGAAATCATGAAAGCTGACAAATAGAATAGAACCTGCATTGCCTTTTTGAGCCTTTTCTCTAATAAAATAAAATCCTTGAAAGAGAGTCTCACTCCTTTAAAAGGACTTCCCTTCCATTCTACCTCAAGCCTCCACTTCTACTCACTCCCCTGAAATGGCCAACTTAATCACCTTGTTTATGCTGTGGTTGTCTATGATATCTGCTATCTACAATGTGAAGCTTATAGCACATGGAAGTATTGAAGGAGGATCAACCAGGTTCTATGATTTCAAGGTATAATTTACTCTTAAAGAGCACATTATGACACCACGTTTTACTTTCCAGTGGAATGCAGTGCTCCCAAATGCCTTTTTCTCTATTTTTTATGCTCTAAGTGGTTACTGCACAGGTTCAAACCAAACGAGATACCAAACTTTGCAACTCCAAAGACATTATCACAGTTAATGGTATGTTTCCAGGACCTGTTGTTTACGCCCAAGAGGATGATAGAATCATAGTAAAAGTAACCAACAAGACACCTTTCAATGTTACAATTCATTGGTAATCCCTATAACAACCTTGTACATGAAATAAATAGTTCACTCAGTTATCGATATTATTCCCACTGACAAACTTGAATGTTAAACTTTAGGCATGGTATTCGGCAAAAGCTATCATGCTGGTATGATGGACCATCCTTGATTACACAATGTCCAATTCAATCAGGCCAGAGTTTCACCTATAATTTTTCAGTGGTGCAGCAGAAGGGCACCTTCTTCTGGCATGCTCATGTTTCTTGGTTGAGAGGAACAGTTCATGGTGCCATGATTGTGTATCCAAAGGCCGGGGTACCTTACCCGTTTAAGTTTCCCTATCAAGAGCACGTAATTATACTAGGTAACTTGGGATCTCCCTTTGGTTTTGAATTCAGAGTATTGTGTAGTTGTATGTACTAGATATAATATTATTGTTTGTGGTTTGATTTGAATTATGGCAGGGGAATATTGGTTGCAGGATCTCCAAGAAATTGAGAATGCCACTCTAGCAAGTGGAGGACCTCCTCCTAAAGCAGATGCATATACCATTAACGGTCATCCAGGGCCCAACTACAACTGCTCCGCAAATGGTATTTGAGATAACAAAAGTTACCTAACAATGTAATTATCATAATGGTGATTCTCATTTCCTGGGATTGCTTACAATTGTCTATTGGTAGGATCATTATTTTTATGTTTCAATTAGACTAAGCTGATAGTAAAGAAAAAAAATCTGCATTAAGTGGTGGAAAATGGCCACTATCACTCTTTCACATAATGACAAATCCACGAGGCATTGGTCTCCTAAACCAGTCTATCACAAATTAGTACTATTGTAATTGCTTTTTCTCCATTCCCTTTTCTTACACATACGTTTCTTTCCTCATCATTTCAGATGTCTACCAAATTGATGTGATTCCGGGGAAGACCTATTTGTTGAGATTGATTAATGCGGGTTTGAACACTGAGAATTTCTTTGTCATTGCTAATCACAATTTAACAATCGTGGAAGCTGATGCTGAATACACCAAGCCATTCACCACAGACACCGTGATGATTGGACCAGGTCAAACACTGGGTGTCCTTGTCTCTGCAAATCAACCAGTAGGAAAATACTCCATGGCTGTAGCACCTTACGAGTCTGGAAAGGTTGTCATATATCAAAACGTTTCAGCTATAGCTGGCTTTAACTACATAGGAGCTCCATCTGATAGCCTCTCTTTACCAGCTAAATTGCCTAAACTTGATGATGAAATGGCTGTTAAGACAGTCATGGACGGATTAAGGAGCCTAAATCAAGTCAATGTTTTCAAAGAAATTGATAAATATCTATTCATTACCATTGGATTGAATGTTCAAAAGTGTCACTCGAAGACACCAAAGCAAAACTGCCAAGTCATGCACAATGGGGTACTGGCAGCTTCAATGAACAATATAACTTTCGTTAATCCCAATATTTCAATCTTGGAAGCATATTATAAGAAGATAAAAGGAACATATACTGAAGATTTCCCAGACACACCCCCAAAGTTCTATGACTTTGTTAATGGCGCCCCTAATAACATTCCATATGACACGCAGTCATTGAATGGTACTAGAATAAAGGTACTTAAATATGGTAGCAGGGTGCAACTCATTCTGCAGGACACGGGGATAGTCAACACAGAAAACCACCCAATGCACTTCCACGGCCACAGCTTTTATGTGGTAGGGTATGGCACGGGCAACTATAACCCATTAACTGCACAATTTAATTTGGTGGATCCTCCATACATGAACACAATTGGAGTTCCAACAGGAGGATGGGCAGCAATTCGCTTTGTTGCTGACAATCCAGGTATAAATCATAATGCTGTATTTATTTTATCCATTGTGCTATTGAAAAAGCCAGGAATTATTTATTTCCCTCTGTCTCTCTGTCTGTCTATTGAATTATCAATTTCTTACTATCAAAATAACATGAAACTATTTTGCAGGGGTGTGGTTTCTGCACTGCCACATTGATATACACAAGTCATGGGGACTGGGAATGGTATTTATAGTGAACAATGGAAAAGGAGAGCTAGAATCCTTACCACATCCTCCACCAGACTTGCCACAGTGTTAAGAGTACGACCAGATCATAACAAACAGAAACTAGCAGATGATTTTGAGACCTTCCTGTTCAAGCGTTCTTTAGCTCCATGTTTGTTACTGTAAAGTGTGGCATTTCCATTTCTTTTAAAAGCAAAAAACTACGGATGTAAAAAAGCAAAATGACTATAGTATGTTTGGTAGAGATTAAATTTAGAGAAATAATCGCTTATTTTTAAAAAGTTCTCTTAAAAAGTTAACAGAAAATAAGTGATTATTTCTTGAAAATAAATTGAACCAAACATGCAGTTATAAATGCAAATTTTATTCTCTCTAATTTGATTTATTTCTACTAATCCATCAGAATTCTGAAATAAAAAAAGATAATAATATTACTTGAAATCAAAGTGATAAATAGTGACTCCTGTTCTCGCCAAGGTTCCACCTTTATACTAGTCCTAATTGAGGTGTCCATATATACACGAGGCTCATTCACATCCAATCTTACTAGGTTTATTGAATAAGCACAACCTTCAAGGGGCTGCCTGAACATCCAGTGACCATTGTAAAATGAATATTTGACAAATACATTCCCAGACAAATCTGTCTCATATACCCTCGGAACATTCAGTTTGTTGTCTGCAGTGTAACAGGAACATGACACTGACAGAGAACAGATTATGGGTTGACCCTCTCCACAGTCCAGCTTTTCTTTGCTGCAGCACTCACACTTGATTTGAATGTTAGCCTCTGGTTACTCTTCAGATTCAAGTAATCAACCTGTACGTGGTTGAAACCAAAGTGAATGTGTAGATGCAAACACACATACATTAATGTTAGAGTATGAGAGATATCACTACCTGATCTGGTTCTACGATCAGAAGGCAAAAAGCATCAATTGGACCTGTAGAAGGATCTAATGATAATTCGGGCTGAGCTTGCTCATATAGACAGGGAAGTCCAGGGTTGGGGCACAAATATTGCGACCTTGATCTCAATGAACTGGCAAACCAAGAATTTTCTCTTTGCTGTGTTGTGAATTTATTTTAAGAGGGGAAGATTATTGCAATAAATTTAAAATTTGGTATTGAAATTTAAAAATTGAAAACTACACAAATTTGAAACTAATATTATAAAATTGAAGACCAGTTTCAGTTTTTAAAAAGTTCAAAACAAAAATTGACAACCAAACCGAACAAAGAGGAAGGGTTTTCTTTTACTTTCCCTGATTTGGTAAGGGAACAGAAAAGGTTTCTTGATTTTGCAGAATGCAAGTTTATACAAATAGAGTAAAAACCCAGAGTCCCACTTTGGTAGTAAATGTGTCATCTAGTCCATAAGGGTACCCTACAAGCTACAACTGTTAAGTAGCTTTAAGCAGTTTTGGTCTTAGTAGGTCTGTTTGAGTCTTAGTTTGCTAACTATAGGATTTCTAAGAGATTTCTCATATATATGCCTAATATATTATATTTCTAACGAAAATAAGAAGTAGATGTTCTTGCGCTACATTCAATTCTTGACTACCATTTTAATTTCGTCTTCCCATTATGCAGTTATTTTTAGCTCAACTTATCCTTAAATCACTAGAGAAAGTTCAAATTGCTTTTACGAAACAAGTTGACATACTTATTTCCTTCAGCGTAAAGAAAATTCATGATTAGTATCACAGGGTATGCATGCATTGCACTTCTCTTCTCTCAATCGGTGAAAGAAGCAAATGGCTGTAAATAGCGCAATTGGTTTAGCAGAATCGTATGCATAAAAAACTCATCATCATACAGAATGGTCAAATCACACTTGATCCAACCTATGACAAAGAGAATGGCAATTTCAATCATAACTGAAAATCTCCAACCAAACCTGAAGTTTGAGCGGGTCAGTATTCGAACCATCAATGATATCTACATTTCCATTTATCCGAAATTGCTCCCAGGAATCTGTGAAATACCAACATATCTAACCAAAAGAACTAAACTTAGTCCCAATTCACAAAATCTATAACGCCCCTTACTAGTTTGTTTTATTAAAAAAGTATTTCATGGAGTAATTACCTCAGCAGAGGAGCAAAGCTTGAGCTCTTCAATCTACACTAATAAGACAACAGACACTTCTAATTAAGTAACTTATCAACGAAAATTCAACAACATACCAACAATTACATGCCCTTATGTTTTAAAATTGGGTATAAATGATTTAATGGATTGATTTCAACAAATGATGTATATGTCTAAACACTACTCTATGTTGATTTTAATGGAATTGTTTGAACCATTTTAAAATGCATAATATTACGAGCATAGTATAATTCCAGTCATTAATCAGATAAACTAGAAAAGTAGTCTAAAAAAAACCTTGCGAGTGCGAGCATCAGTGTTAATTTGGATGTTATCGGTATTATCTTGGAATCCTCTGAAAACGCAGAACATACATTTCGTCAATTTTCCGTTAAAACTAAGAAGTGAGAGAGAGGGAGGGACAACCTGAAAACGACAGTGCGGTTCGAAGGTGTTCCGTTGGTTCCTATGGTTGCCTGCCCCAAACAAAAATAAAACAATGAGTGAGAATAAAGAAATGAAAAAAAAAATTAAAAAAAAAATGGTTGATTGAGATACGATACGAGTTGCATGAAAGTAGAGTGCTTGAGGTGAGCGTTGGATTCCAAAGCGTTCAGAAGAAGCTGCTTCCACGCCACGCTCCCCATTTTCCTTTTCCAGTACTTTCGGATTATTTTTCCCAGCACTTTCGGTGAAATACGAAGAAGACGAATAATCGTGAAAAACAAAATCAAGAAGAAAAAAAATTGAAATAGTTATTTGTTTTAATCGAGAAGGAAAAGTAAAATATGTAAATTTACCAAAAACCAAAAAATTATTTAAGTCTTTATTTAATAAGTAGATAGGATATTTTAAAATAAAAGTTATTATTTTTTAGCATATTAGACAAACACATAAGAAAAAATATATATTAATTTATCTTATTAAAAAAAATACAAATATGCCAAGTTATTAACCATTGATCAAGAAAGTACCAAAACAGTATCCAATCACAAAATTCAAACACCACTGATTTTTAATTGATTAACAGTATAAATCTTTGACATTTAGAATATATATATATATATATATATATGGATTAAACTAATTAATGACACTTTAATTTTTGAAAACTTAAAGAGATGACATGGATTATGGATTGCGCCCACCATTTTCGCCCATCTCATTTCATTCCTTTGAACTTTCAGACATGTCAGAAGAAAGGACAAATTTTTCACCCTGGTATTTTTTAAAAATATATATAAATAAAATTTAATTTTCTTTTTAAAAATAAATAAATAAATAAATAATTGATATGTTCTACTTGTGAAATGGTATAAGAGGGTGAAATGGAGATCTTATAACATAAATTAGATATAATTTTTATTTGGTGACATGGACTGAGCCTACCAAAGTATAATTTAAATTTCTATGTAATATTGATTGATTTGCCAAGTTATCTATTTTATTTTATATTATTATTATTATTATTATTATAAAATAATATTTTTATTTATAATTTAAGATTATATATTTTAAAATAAAAATAAATAAAAATATGTAATTAAGGGTATTTAAGAAAATTACATAAAACCTGTAATTAAATATGATTAAATATTAGAAATAAATGATAATTTTTTATTAATTATATTAGAAAAAAAAACATATAGTTATAAAAAATAAAAATAAAATATCATAGAAAAACAATTAGATAAAGAATTTCCTTTGCATTGGTATATATTATATATCAAACTTTAATTATTTTAATTTCGCAGTCATTCAAATGTTCCAAACCCAAAGTCGCATCCACATTTAAAAATTCTATATATAGAGAGTGAATTATCAAATTACACGTGTATTTATTAAATATTATATTATTTAATAATTTTTATTGGACTATTTTTTAGTTATAATTTAAAATATACTTAAATTATAAATAATTTGATTACTTTGGTTATTATTGTTCACTATTGTGAAATATATATTGATTATTTAATACTAGTATTTTACAATTTTTTTACAATAGATGTTTAAAAATGATATAGAACTATCATTCTATAATAATTCAGTGAGTTACTATGAATGTAAATAATTATTATTTCCCACATATAATCATAGATTTAATCTAGCTAGTTTAAATAATTAATTAATATGATACTTTAATTAGTGTAATAGACAAGTAAGTAATAAGAGTGTACTATATCATATCGAATGGGATCATATTAATAAATAACATTAGAAGTTCTTAAAATACGATAAGATACACATTATTTTATATAATATATATAAATAATAACATTAGAAATTATGCATAAATGTTTGCTTGCATGATAGTCAAACTTATAATATATATAATTTGTCCCACTCATAATTTTTGAAACATTTGTTAATGTACTTGTAATAAAAGTCCTCACAATAAGTATATAATAAGTTTTTTTTATTAAAAAATAATTAGGCTATTTATCGAAAGAATTTAAGTACAGAATCCACCAACCTAAAATGTTTTTTTGTGCCATATGGTGCTCTAGCATGATAAAATTGGGTTGCATTATGCACCAATTTCTTCATTATTTTTTCTTTTTTCAAATGAAAGTGTTTCCGCATATATACATGATAGGATTGGTACTAATATGGGTCCATCTATGACTTGATTTTTTCTTTTAAACTTAACTTTGTTGGTTAATAATTATGCATTTAATTATGTTACACCACGTGCTTCCGGTCATTTACAACAAACGATCCCTTTAAATAGACAATTCGTTAAGTTGACCACCACCAACCAATTTTGTCTTATATACACTATCATTCAAATTTGTGTACTTAATAATTAACCGCGTGTTTGGAATGTTGAATACATAAAAATCCCTTTTTAAATCGAGTTTTAAAAACTATGTATACATCGTCACTTACATAAATACTTAATAATAATAATAATAAAAAGATAGAATTTTATAAAAATACTCAAGTAAAATTAAATGGTTTTAAAAAAACATTAAAACTGTGTACACACTTTATTTTGATTCATCTATCACTTTCCTATTTTATTTTATTTCAAAAAAAAAAAACTTTTTTTTTCTCCACACATTTTCTGTTTTCTCTCTATCTCACTTTTAAATCTCTATTTTTCTCTCTGTTTACACATCACTTTCTTTGTTTCTTTTTTTCAACACCTCTCAGTCACTTCTTATAAATTAAGAGTATAGCTTACAATCATAGTATAACTTTATTATTATTATTATTATTATTATTATTATTATTATTATTTAAGGGTACAGTAGTTCAACTCAAACATTAGATAACGACAGATTTAATTTTTATCACCATATTTTATATTTTAAATTTCACTATATAAAGATGAATTCACTCGAAATTGTAACAAAGAAAACTTAAATACTTTTTTAATTTACGTAATTTGAAAATTCTATTTTTTTAGTCTTTTCAAAATCATTTTATTCATGTATTACACTACAAGAATTTTGACTTGTACAATATATACGTTGCAATGGGTTATGAGTTCGTCCATTATAGTAGGTATATATTCGTCAGTAAAAGAGACTCATTTATTTTATGGTACATATTTTAACTTGTGAGGACATGAATCCGTTGAAATATATAACAAAATACAGAGATTGATACACTAAGTGTGAAGAGCATGAATTAATGAACGACGCGTGTTTGGTCAAAACCAACGTGCATGACCACGAACAATTTTATCACTCAACATCTATTTCAATTTTTCACACTTGAATCGTTATTGGATTTGAATATTGTTTTTTCTAAACATTTTCACTTGTTCATGTCCTACCATTTAGTTTTGCAAATCCAAGTTTGATATTGATGATGTTAGAAGATTGAAAAATTAATCCCTAATGTTATTCTATCTGCATTGCAGGTACCTGCATTATGGTTCTCTCATTAATTCACACGAAAGGAACATGCTCACAAATTCAAATATTGAGTTGAAATCGCTATTTTAAAATAGATAAAAAAAAAAATTCAGCAACTTACGTATATATAAAATCTTATATAATTGGTTCACGTTCATTGGTAAAAAAATAGTTTTCCTCATAAATACACAACTCTTATTTAGTCTTAAAACTAAAAAGTATTTAAATTAATTTGACAGAATTAGTTTATTAAGATTCAAATGACGTAGTCACTTATATATTATAATTTTATTTAATCTGCTTGGAACAGTGATTTCGGTGAGTTTTTTGGATATTTGTATCCTTTCTTACTGTTTTGTTTTAATTATATCCTAAAGTTTTTCGTAAAAATCACTACAAAAAAAAATTTATTATCTACAAAATATTACCTAAAGATAAAAATTTGTAGGTATATTGTACATTACCTATGGATATCCGTGGGTAATTCAGTAGGTAATTACCTACTGAATTATTATCGATAGATAAGTTATGTTCAATTAAAAGAATTGTCACTAGCAAAAATCGAATTCATTATCTTAAAGTTGAAAATTGATACTCCAACCACTAAATTATTATAATATTCTATTAATAACTTATAAATAAATTATATTTATATTTATTCGTATAAATATAAAAATATATAAATATATAAATATAAAATATATAAATATAAAATATATAAATATAAAATATAAAATATATAAATATAAAATATATAAATATAATTTATTCGTAAGTTATTATCAAAATATCACTAATAACTTAGTGATTGGAGTATCGATTTCTACTTAGATACTAGATTCGAATTAAAAAATAAGGGGTTGTAGTAAATAAAAATATTTTGTCAAGTGATACGAAATTATCCACGAATTTTTACCTATAGATAATAAGCTTTTTTTTTTTTTTTTGTAGTGAATGGACTCCAAAGTTGATTCGAAGGTCTAGTGAAGAAGCAATGTTGAGTTACTCATCAGTGTCCATATGATCAACTTTCTGCTGCATAAGTGGGAAATGGTTGTTCTTCTTTCGCACCTTCCCAGAAGCTCACTGGTGCATGCACTATCTTACTCATCACTTATTAGGTCATGAATGGAGACTCCTTCAAACTTCACGTGTACAAGTCCTTTCTCCCTTCTTTCTTCAACCTTAACTTGAGGATGATGTAACAGAGCTTGCATTTATTAAACTAAATGTTTCGTGAAAGAGACTTATAAAAAATATCTTAATGAAAAGTAAAACACTTGTGTTATATTTTAACATTTAAGTGCTTAAATGTGTTAATCTTTCTTGATAATTCAAAACAAAAGACAGACTATATATATATATGTTTGTAAAATTCAAAGTCAAAAACAAATTTCAATTCTACACGTACGCATGTTTGTTTTATTGGTTTAGTCAATATTTTCGGATTGAGGGATTCTATATACACGGGTGATAAACAATTTATCAAATAAAATGATTAATTTGTCTTGGGGTTTCATAACTTTTTTCAATTTGTTTTAATAAACCCTATAAAAATAACTCATAAAAACAAATTATATAAAACTAGTTAATTAATTATATATACTTATAGTATGATTATTTTATTCTTAAATAACACTATTTAAACCAATATAGGAAATGCTGGAAAAGTAAATAATTAATAAAAGAGGCAAGAATATGCCAAAATATAATTATTTTAAAGACAAATAAAAATATTAATAGTAATTAAAAACTGGAAAAGGTGAAGAAATTAAGGAACGAGCTCTTGCATTGCATGGATGTCATCAAAGGTAGAGTATGAACCTTTCGATATTTGATGATTTCATTATTATTTTGTTTCGTAAGAAAAATAAAGCTACTTTGACCATAGTGTATAAAAAAATGAAATTAAAGTGACACAGTGGACTATATACTAATTTTAATTTGACTAGAAGTTCAAAGCTACTTTAATGACACTGTGTGATAAAACCCAATACGTAAAACCAACTACTAATTAATTTTAATTTGTCCATGTGTGCATAATTAACACATACTTAATTTATTGTGACAGAACATGAAGAATATAGATTGGTTTAGTGATGCAAGTGTTCTATATTATTGGAATGTGGCACACTCAATGATCATGTTTAATAGTAAATACAATTTTAAAACATAACCTACCTACTTTTGTATGCACATTGAACAACATTTTCAATTCCACAGTGCCAAAGTCCAAACTTTTTATCCCTTTGGACCTGCATTCAAACTATATACTATACATTAATTAACTCTTCTTTATTTAAATTAAGATCAAACAAAACCATACTTTGGCATTTAACACGGACCAAAGAGGTACATGCATCGTGAATTATATATATGGTAGCTTGATGTAGCTTTTTAAGTGTAAAAACATGTTGTTGGTGGTGCTTTAATTAAAAAGGAAAATTTGGATTTGTTTGCTACCTAACCGATTTGTGAAATCTTTAATGAAATTTCATACTAATTAACTTGTTTATATATTTAAAGTGGTTGGATTGAGTTATATGATTAAATGTACAGATCACGTAATTCAACTCAATATAATTCGTTAATCCAATGAATTAGGTTAAGTTGACAAATCGAGTTGTTTTATTTATTTATTTTATAATATATATATATATATATATATATATATATATATATATATACATAATTATAAAGTTAAAATATTAAAACGATTTATTATACTAATTAAAGTGGCGAACTTGGATCAACCTTTGAAGGGACACGTTAAACTTCTTCAAGGAAAGGATTAAGCTATTTTAAACCTTGTTTGAACTTAAAACTTTTACTTGTTCCAATTGATACAATTTTTTTGGAACTAAAAGAGTGGGGTTTTAAAAGTTGTGTTTGGTACGTCTTATACAGCAACTACAAATGCAAAATAGCAAATAAGATTCCCTTTTTGTATATGTAAGTAACATACATGGATCTTACATTAATCAACATTTTTTCATTGATATACAGAACAATACTGTGGGATACAAAAATATTCTGTTAGTGTTGATGATTATTTTTATTCAGTGACTAGTCAACAAAGGAGGTTTCACTTTTGGCCGAAATCTATATTCAAAGACGAGTTTATTTAACCTTTCTATTCTCAACTTATTACTAAATATATATGTGTGATGAGTAAGTCAAAGACAAGTGTATTTTCCCCTCTTCTTTTGGTTTTAACTACATTTTGTGGTTTCACTTGCCACCAAGTTGTTAATTATAATTAATCTACAAATATTATTAAATGTTTATAAACTCTATATCACCGTTAAATCTATATTAACAATTAACACATTACTTTTTTATTAAAAAATTTACATTAACTTAGTTCAAATTACACGAAGTTATATGGTATTAATAATATATTTAAACTTATTATTTTCTGACAAATAATCTAAAACCAACTTCTATGTTAATTGGAAGTTTAATTGGCAACTTAACTTTATTATTAATTAATGCTTCAATGATATAAATTTAAGTTTTCGTTTTAAATGAAAATATAATTTTATACTACATATATTTTCCGTTTTTATTGCAATTCATGGTTTTTCCATTATTTTTAATCTATATTTTTTAAAATATATATTAATTACTGTTTTTAAAATATTTTTTGGTTAAAATTTTGAATGGGCTAATCTCAACTTTAATTACTTCAACTGTATTTTATTTTATTTTATTTTATTTTTCTCAAATGTTACTTATACGTCAATCATGCTTTCGAGTCAAGTTTGCAGGCCCTGCTGGTTTGACTGAAGATTTTCTTTTGACTTATTCTTCATAGGCATCATAAATCCTTGTTTGGAACCAAAATGTTTTGGATAAAATTCTTTTATTTTTTTTACAATTTAGTATCCTTTATCGTTTCAACACTAATGGAGCTTAGTGGTGGGTGTAATGTTTAATACGTATCATAATTTAACTTTTCAACGTAATATAATCATAATTACTAACACTAAAAACAATTAGTGCCGGTCGAGATTTGATTACCCTCACGCAACTATTAAACTATCACTTCCTCTACTGAATGTACAGTCTAACTCACCATGCTGCCAGAAAATGGAAGAAGAAGATAAACTCAATCAACATAAATTATTTATATATATAACTAAATCCTCTCATCTAAATGGAAAATTGACATTATCATAGAATAAAAGAGACACGATTCTGTTTTAGTTTGAAAATGTCTTATAATTGATCTAATTTGGAATTTTCATATATATAAAAAAAAAGAATATCATGGAAGTGTTGTCGGTATCTGTATAACTATTCACGATTTGATGTTCCCGTAACATTATGCTATTTAAAATCAAGATGTACGTAAGATTCGTTTAAGGTTGCAATTTACACCACATAAAATTGGAATTTTTTTTCTCAATTTTAATAACACGAATTTGACTCTAGTTAGGTTAAAACATTAATGGTTTGTTTGGTGTGGTAAATTATGTAAGATTGAAAAGAGAGGGAAAGATATTTATCAAAATCATTTTGACTTGGATTGGATTGGATGGATAAATTGGGTGGAAAGGAAGGAAATTAATGGTGGAGCCTATTCTAAAATTCCACCATTCTAAAAATGGAAGAAGAAAAAAGAAAACATGGATTTCTTATTTTTATTTTTTGTAAAAAGATAAAATGGTCTTCATTTTCTATACATTTTTTTCTTTTTGAAAAAAAAAATTATATTTGTTTCTTTCATTTTACATTCTATACAATCAAACAAAAGGGTTTTTTTTTTTCTAACTAAACAATTTTGAATAAGAATATCACTATTTATTTATTTATTTATTTATTTTCCTTCCTTGTTCCTTTATTAACCCCAAAGTAAGGAAACCTAACATTTTTTTGTTGGTTTTTCTTTTGGTATACCTAACTGAATTATATTTTAAATGACCAATGTGACTATGTCCTTATTTACTTGAATAATTAATTTTGGAAATATTTATCATGTCTAAATACCCACTTTTTTAACTTCCAATTCAATTTAAAACATTGAACAAAAAATATCCCAATTAAAGTAAAATTTAATTAAAATACTTAACAATTACAAACTAACACACGACCAATTTGTTTGACTTTTATAAAAAATATTTTTAACGTCGTCTTAAAAATAATTTTTAATTGATTGATTTTTTTTAAATAATATATTTAAACCTAAAAAAAAGCTGAATTATATTTTTACCACCCTTTAATTTCTAATTTTCTAATTTAGTTTCCCAATTTTATTAACACTTAAAAAAAATCTACAATTCACTTTTATTTTCAAACAAACACATCCACTCGATTTTAGTTTCACTTTAAAAAAATCTAAAATAGGGTGCACACTCACATACTAAAATGATTTAACTGTATACTAAACTAAAATTACAAATTAATTAAAATGTAAAAACATAACTCTTTGGACTTGTGTAATAAGAAGGGAAAATAAAGTTAAACCCGCGAGAAACAAGCTTCAAATATTTCTCTTTCATAGAAGTTTATTCATTTTCCCAGAAAGTTCAAAAGGATGAGATCTCTCCTCACATGCATGTAGATTTTCCCACGATTTTCTTTCTCATCAGTCATTCTGGGCAAAATAATGCTTGGTATAGTGAGCCTGCATTACCATGCATCCAAATAAACAAAAACAAAAAAAGAGTTAAGTATAATTTATTAACAATTTGGGCCAAATAAATTTAATTAAGTATTAAATATTTATATTAATGATTTAATATAGTATATTGATGCAGAATATTAGTTTATACTATTATCATACATGTTAAAGGCTAATATAAATATATAAGACTGGTTTTTTAGTCAGCGAATGGCAATTGTTTATGGAGTGCATCATACACAAGTGACAGAATTATATTAAATGTACAGAAACCAAGATGAGATTAGATACGATCAGATCAGAGGATATAAGTTATAGAAATATAGAGTAACATGAGTGGTTCATCAATTTGCTCTGCATTATTCTTTCATACTTTTTTGTTTTTCTAAAAATGTTTAACTGTGTTGACTGTTGCAGATTCATCATAGTCAAAATAAGTTTCAGGACTCGGTAAACACAGTTACAGAATTACTTACAAATTATTTACCAACAAAGTTTTCACATGAACAATAAAATTCTAACTGAGACGTGAGTTTAATCTTTATCAAGTGAACTGATCTTTGTTGACACTCTTTCACACCAATAAAGATTCCCCAAATGAATTCATTTCTACGAATTGGCTATGGTCCATGTTCAAGAGGTGGTAATATTCTTCGTATAGTTGCTGTAGCGAGCCATGATCTGTGGGAAAATAAGAGTGGCATTCAATATCTGAGGCGTTGACCAAGTCACGATCCTCACTGAAGAAGCCAAAGCCATCACTTTCTCCCATATTTCCAATTTCACTAGCCAAGTTTAATTCTTTTGTCAAGGGGCTTTCCTCCTTCTCTTGGCTTGTTGATGCACTAGCTGAATTGGAATCAAAGGTGAAGGTGTTACTATCTGTTCTTGGTAAATACAAAGCCTTCACTCTAATTGGTTTTGGTAGATAAACTTGTGTCTTTGGTGGCTCAGCATTATTTGTGCCTCCTTTGTTCTTCTGCTTGTTCTTCTTTTTGCCACCGTTCTTCTTCTTTTTGTTGCCACTGGCAGGTTCTTGTTGAGGACGCTCCAACGTATTGGGTGTGTCAGTATCATCTGTTCCTTGATTTTTCAGCTTTTTGCATAGATGGGTGTTCCAATAGTTCTTTATTTCATTGTCTGTTCTTCCTGGTAACCTTCCTGCTATGAGGGACCATCTATTCCCCAAAAGTGAGTGCATTCTGATTATAAGATCATCTTCTTCTGGGGTTATGTTTCCTCTCTTTATATCTGGTCTCAGATAGTTCATCCATCTCAATCTACAACTTTTCCCGCATCTAAGAAGCCCTGCATATTCAATCACAGTTATAAATTAGTATTTTATTCAATGTCTCATTGAATCAGAATTACCCCTCGTCAAAAATTCATGTATTTTTGCATTATTTGTATGGTTACAATAAACCATAACTTATGGTAAAAACTTGGAAAACAAATTACACCCCATCAAAGAAAAGATCAGAAGAAGAACAAGGGGGATCAAATTGAGAAAGTTAGCATGTAAACTCTTAATTACCAGCTTTTTTGGGTAGTGATTTCCATTGGCCTTCTCCATGAGCTTGGATATATTTTGTAAGCAATGCATCTTCTTTAGGAGTCCATGGACCTTTATGCAACCCTACTTTAGAACAACAAGGAGCCCTTCCCATTTTTTGGCACTCTGAAATTAGGACTCTCTCACTTGAAGAATGAGAGACAGAGAGAAGGGTCCTCTTGGAACCTCTATAGGTAGGAAGGTAGAAAGTACAAAGCAGAGCACCGAAAGATGCCAACACCTTGTTCCATTTATATAATAGTGGAGTTGTACCATTTTTCTCTAGTTTTTAAGTCAGTATCATGCTATGGACGAGGACAAATTGAAAAGCCAACAGTGGCTGCTATTATCTATTCATTTTTTCTTCCTTGTCTCTATTTATTTGCTTACTATTATTTATATACTGAATAACATAATGGTTGTTTTATTTTGATAACCATATGCTTTAAGATGAGAAGATGCTATCTTTATCACTACTCAATTAACATAGTTTATTAGTGAAAATGAAATTTTACATTTAAATCGTTCACCTGTAATGAAAAAAGTCAACCAGAAAAGAAAAAAATCAACTACAATAGTCTTCAGTAATTTTTTTTTTTTTTTTCAAATGTAGTTGAGGTTTTTATACTTTTGCACTAATGAATTTGTTACCAAATTTTAAAATATGAAAGTTTAGTCTCTTTTAAATTAAAAAAAAAAAAACATGTTTTCTTTAGAATAAAGGTTAGATTCAAATATTTTTTTATTATATAAAAATATCACAACCCATTTAATGCATATTTATTTTTCTCTCTTTTTAGCCCCTATTTATTGTTTTTTGAGACCCAAAGTTTGTGTATTAGATATTTCTCTTACAAGAATACTTGTAGTGTACATTTTTTATTTATTTCAAATTACTATGAATTTTATAATAAAATAATAGTACATAAAAACTAAGTGGGGCTAGTTATAATTAAATGATAAAAAATTATATTAATATAAAAATAAAAGTGATCTTTCTCTAGGTAAATATGATACTGAACAGGGAAAAGAAATATTAAAATAGTCAAGCCAAGTAGATATTGAAAAAAAAAAAGAGTTTTTAAATAATAAAAATGAGATTTTTAGCAACAAGATTCTTAAAAAATAAAATTATAAAACATATTTGATTATCATTTTGTATGGATAATGTTTATGTTTATTTTAAATGTGTTATGGTAAATTATTATGAGAAAGTATAGTAACCATGTTGTTAATTATCAACGATTTTTTTTATCAATAATCTCTATTTTTTTATAATATTTTGCATTCCAATTTCCGTATGGAAGATATAATGACAAAAGAAAAATATTGATTGCACATTGAACTCTCTTTTCTAACCTGTATTAAAAAAATACACGAATATTAACATAACGTTAAAAACAAGATAAACAAGTCGTTTATTTCTCTCTCACCGGCGTCATCATCAGGCTGCTCTCTCCCTCTCTCTCCGACCGCGATGCTCTCTCTCCGGCAGCTGTATAAGACTCATAGAGATAATATGTTGAGTAAATTACATTAAATCTTTCTTAAATTATATTTATATTTTTATTATTACAAATGATTTTTCATAATTATATATATATATATATATATATATATATTGTGACTAATCAGAGTTCATAATCCTAAAATTTTATAATTTTTATATAATTGATGATGTTGATCTCTTAAATTTAATAATCATTTAATATATTTATTTGTATATTTATAATTGCATCATTTCATCACTTATAACGTTATTATAATTTTGTATCCTTAAACTTAATGATTATTTAATATATTTATTTATATATTTATAATTTTATCTCTTAATATTTCTACTTATTTTATCTTTTTATATTTATATTATTATTTATTAATAATATATTATTTTATTTCTCAAAATCAAAATCATATATATATAACCAGAGAAGGGACGCATTTATAATATATTTTAAAATTTAAGAAAAATATATTTGTATGTGTATATAATGTTGTAAAAAAACTAAAAAGATGCAGGTGTAATAAAAAAGAGTGATAATATAGTATTTAATTTTTTTTGAAAAAATAAAATAATAATGTAATTTAAGAAATTTGATAATAGTAGATTAAAAAAGTGTAAACTTTGCTTTCACCCTAAACATTCCTATTTTAACTTTGACCCTAATATTAAAAAGATACACGAATATTAGCACAAAAAATGAAAGCTAAACAGTTTTTTCCTTCTTTCTCTCTCTCTCCGGCGGCACCAGCACCAGGTGCTCTCTCTCTCCCCTCTGGCGGCGCCACATGCTTTCTCTTCAGCACTGCAGCAGTGATAAAATATAAGAAATAAATATTTATAACATGATATTTTTATATTTGTCTTACAAATAAAATTGAAGATATTTTTGTTTCTATCATACATCACTTGTTGCTAATTAAATTGCTAGTTTTGTTAAAAATATAATATTTATTATGTTTACATTTGCTTTAACTCCTTAAATTTTGTATTTTACGTAATTTAAATTAAATATTTAAAGTTAAAATAAATCTTATTTTTCATCTATTATAAATATAATGAAAGATCAAACACAAAAATATTGATAATAAATGAATAAAAAAATTCGAATAAATATATAATATTCATTCAATGTATACTCTAATTTTTCCTTTTTAAACATAATATAAAGTAAAAGTGATCAAAAACCCACCTAACCTAAACATTGAAAATAACTAAAACTAAAATTTGTTAGATTTTTTAGATTGAAAAACTTTAAAATTTTCAAACCATGTAAAAATTAGAATATAAAATTATATTTATTAAAAGTAATTTATTAATTTCTTATAATTTAAGATGTATATTACTATTATTATTATTTAAATTAATATACAAAGATATGAAAATAGAGTAAAACTATTAATATTATATAATTAATTATAAACTATAAAATATTGATTTAGTTTAATTTAATTTTTTAAACTAAAATTAAATTATATTTAAATTTTCTATTTAGTTGAAATGAATTAATATGAAATCGAAGCAAAATTCACCACGAACCCTATGAAAGTTTCGTTCTCAAAGAGATAAATATACTGTGTACGTAAGAACACATTAATTAAACTCTAAATCAAATAGTGATTAGTTTGAATAATTAATCTTAAACCGCTATATATGACTTGAAATTCCTTGTGCTATTCCATAATGTACAAACTTTCGTGTAAATAATAATCTTAAAACAATCAAATAAATGTAATTAAACCACAATTACTAAAAATCTGGTTTCTTTAAAATGGAAAACAAGTAAAGAAAAAAAAATATATAAATCAAATGACCCTTAATAATAAACTCATATATAGAGTACGTTAGTGCGAGACGTATGCATGTGAAAGAAAGAGAATGTGAAGAAGCCAACACAAAAGCATGCAGAAGAACTGGTGGAGGTTGTTGAGTTTCAAATACACGAATCTATGTATTCCAAATTGTACCTTTGGAAATTGGAATACGTCACGTTGAAACTAATCGAAATATTAGCTCATTTCTTTGTTAGAAAAAAAATTCACCAATTTTGAAACTTAACCCAATGGAAGATATTAAAACAAAAAAAACAGACAAATAGAGTTCATCAGCATGTAGAATTAGAAACTCTGATTAATTATTTTCAACCACACGTGCTCTTGCTTTTTGACCATATCTATCGGCTTACAATAATATCTATAGAAAAATGTAGAAATATTAATATTTTAATACGTACATCATCCAGTATAAATATCTATTTTATATATCTAAAATTTTTAAGAAATTAATATTTTTAAATAGTGAACTTTTTTTTATAAACAAATATAAATTATATTTTGAATTTATGATAAATGATTTTTATTGAAATATATTTTAAATGTATAAACTTGTCTACTGATAAAAAATTATAATTAAATAGATTTTATGGGAGAATATGAGAAAAAAGTCTAATGTCACATAAATTATATATATTAGTGTTTATTTCTTTTTTATAAAATAAGCATAATATTTATTTTGTAAATCAAAAAAAAATATTTTTTTTTAACTAACGTATTACATAATAGTTGAGTTCTCTAATTTATGAGCAAGAATATTATTATTGTTTTTTTATATTTAAAATGAATATTATAATTTCTTACGGTATTGTTTATTGTTAATTTTATTTCTTTTTTTTCGAATTTTATTTTAGTTGTAAGTTTTTGTGGTTAATTTGATTTCTAACATTTCAGAAATGGGAGATATTAATCTATAACTCTCAAATGGAAAAATACTCTAAATAATAACAAAGAAAAACTTAAAAAATGGTAACGCATGATCTCCATGTATTGCTAAGTAATCTCAAACAATGAGAAGGACTATATTAAACTATCAATATGCATGTTTATTTAGGGTTCGCATAAGTTCTAAATAAGTTTTTTCAAACTTGGATTGGATAAATGTTAATCTAAACTAAATTAAGAGAAACTTATTTGGAGTAAGTTAGACATTTTCTTCTCTTTTTCTCTTGTCTTTTTCATTTATGCTTGTATGGGTTATTTAAGAGAAACAAAAAAGAAAAAACATGATTAGCCATCAACAGTTAGAAATTTCAATTATTATTAAGAAAATTTATTTATTTATTAGGTCCCTTCCCTTTATTTTTATTTAATACAAATTTTAGAAATTTGAATTATTATTCGATTAAGAGAGGTGTGACTGGCAAGATTCGAACTAATACCCTATAGTTGAAGGCTAACACTCCAATTATTATAAGCTACTAGAATTTTCTAATAATAATTTACAAATAAATTATATTTATATACAAAAAAATGTATATCCGTATAAATATAAAATAAATAAATACAAATATATTTATATATTTTGATATATTTATATGTTGGACGTAAGGGCGCGCTCCAAGGTGAAAGTGTGTTGAGTGAGTTTTCAAAATTGTCATGCCAAATTTGTGAGTGGTTTGTTTATATGAGTTTGTAATTTAATGATAGAATATATCTTTATAATTTATTTATATAATGATATAAAATAATTTTTTTCTTTTTTCTTTTTTATTTTTATTTATTTTTTATTTTTTTCTTCTATTATTTAATTAAAATTCTTATATTAAAATAATTTTTTCA